CACACACCTGCTGAGCGACATATCAGACTGGATGTCGCTCCACTTCCTTAAACTGAACCTCTCCAAAACTGAGTTTCTTGTCTTCCCCCCAGCCCGGACACCACCCCCCATTGACTTCTCTATCACATCCAACAACGCTACCATCAAACCCGCCCCACATGCCAGAGTACTTGGTGTCATTCTGGACTCCAACCTATCCTTCCAGCCCCAAGTCCAATCTTTAACAAACTCGTGCAGACTCCACCTCCGCAACATTGCCAAAATCCGCACGTTCCTAACCCCAGAAACCACTAAACAGCTCATCCACTCCCTCATCATATCACGACTCGACTACTGCAACTCCCTCCTCACTGGCCTGCCTCGCCGCTGGCTATCCCCGCTTCAGTCGATCCTGAATACGGCTGCCAGACTCATTCACCTTTCCAACTGCTCCGTCTCCGCCACCCCCCTCTGCCAATCCCTCCACTGGCTTCCGATTGCGCAACGGATCAAATTCAAAATCCTAACGCTGACATACAAAGCTGTCCACCATACTTCCCTATACTACATCACTGACCTAATATCCAAGTACCGCCCAGCACGCACACTCCGCTCCTCACAAGACCTCCTCTCTAGTTCCCTAGTCTTCTCCTCCCATGCCAGCCTCCTGGACTTCTCCAGGGTGTCACCCATCCTCTGGAACTCCCTGCCCCAACCCATCAGATTATCACCTACTCTCCTCTCCTTTAGGCGCACCCTGAAAACCCATCTCTTCAGGGAAGCCTACCCCACCCCCTGCTAACTTGACCGACCTCCTCCACTCTTCCTACCACTCCATCCCCCACAGCTATCTCCTCCTGTGCCACCATCCCCCTCCCTCTTAGATTGTAAGCTCGAAAGAGCAGGGCCCTCAATCCCCTCATGTTTTGCATTGTATTGGTATTGTTCTGTCACATGTTCTGTCCCCCTCTGTAATGTACAGCGCTGAGCGAACCATTGGCGCTTTATAAATACTGTATAATTATAATAATAATATATATTGCTCAGCATAAATTAGTACACCCCAATAGAAGAGAAGAGGCTACCATCACTCCAAGCCCTTGGTTGTCATGTACTTTTCCAGCATGACAATGATCCAAAACACAAATCTAAGGCCAATGTTGCATTTCTGAAGAAGAACCGAGTGAAAGTGTTTCAGTGGTATAGTATATCTCCTGATCTGAACCCAATCTATGGGGAATTCTGAAGAGGCAAGTTGAACATCACTCTCCATCCAGCATCCAGGCTCTAAAAGAGGTCATGCTTAAAGAATGGAAAAAGATTGATGTTGCAATATGTCACCAACTTGTTCATTCCATGCCTAGAAGACTCGGTGCTGTCCTTACAAATCATGGAGGTCATACAAATACTAGATATAGTAGATTTTGTTGTGGGGTGTATTCATTTTTTTTTCTCAACTAATTTGAGTAAAACTGAAGATTTTGTAATCTAAATTACATTATTAACCTATAAAACTCAGTTTTGTCGAAATTTTGGAAATAGTTTTTGTGTTCAGTGAGATATTGATTAAAATCTTACATTTCAAAAGGGGTGTGCTCATTTATGCTGAGCAGTGTATATATGTACTGTATACACACACTATATTGTAATCTATTTATATCCCAACTCTAGGCTAATTTATATTACGTTTTGCAAGCAGCAGGGAAAGATTAGCATCTCCACCAAATTTTTGCCCTCTGATTATAACTAGAGAGATGAGCGAATCGAAGTAGGCGAAGTGGAATTCGAGTCGAATATTGGAAAATTTCGAAATTTTTTCCTAAAAAGGGGCGGCGGACATGTGCGGCGACGGAGCGGGGATGTCTGGGAAGGCGCGCAGACAAGGCGCGGCTGACCCATAATGCATTCCTTAATGACATGTGATCGCATTAGCCAATCAGCAGCCAGGCAGCCAGCACTGTGTAATGGTCGAGCTATAAATAGCGGCCATTTTAGAATTCTTCATTTGCCTCCAGTCATTCAAGAGAGGCAGACCGCTCAGTATTAGGGACAGAGTTAGGGCCACAGAAACGTTACTTGGGGACAGAGAAACGTTACTTAGGGACAGAGAAGCATTACTCAGGACACAGAATTGTTAATGAGGGCCACAGAATCGTTACTTAGGGCCAAAGAAACGCTAGTTAGGGCCACAGAAATGTTACTTCAGGGACAGACAGAATTGTTACTGAGTGCCAGAAAATTGTTACTTAGGGCCACAGAAACGTTAGTTAGGGCCACAGAATTGTTACTCAGGGACAGACACAGAATTGTTACTGAGGCCACAGAACTGTTACTTAGGGCCACAGAAACGTTATTAGGGCCACAGAATTGTTACTCAGGGGACAGACAGAATTTGTTACTGAGTGCCAGAGAATTGTTACTTAGGGCCACAGAAACGTTAGTTAGGGCCACAGAATTGTTACTCAGGGACAGACACAGAATTGTTACTGAGGGCCACAGAACTTGTTACTTAGGGCCACAGAAACGTTAGTTAGGGCCACAGAATTGTTACTCAGGGACAGACAGAATTGTTACTGAGTGCCAGAGAATTGTTACTTAGGGCCACAGAAACGTTAGTTAGGGCAACAGAATTGTTACTCAGGGACAGACAGAATTGTTACTGAGGGCCACAGAACTGTTACTTAGGGCCACAGAAACGTTAGTTAGGGCCACAGAATTGTTACTCAGGGACAGACACAGAATTGTTACTGAGGGCCACAGAATTGTTACTTAGGGCCACAGAAACGTTACTCAGGGACACAGAATTGTTACTGAGGGCCACAGAACTGTTACTTAGGGCCACAGAAACGTTAGTTAGGGCCACAGAATTGTTACTACTAGGACAGACACAGAATTGTTACTGAGGGCCACAGAATTGTTACTGAGGGCCACAGAACCGTTACTTAGGGCCACAGAATTGTTACTCAGGGACAGACAGAATTGTTACTGGGGGCCACAGAACCGTTACTTAGGGCCACAGAATTGTTACTCAGGGACAGACACAGAATTGTTACTCAGGGGACAAAGAATTGTTTACTGAGGGCCACAGAACCGTTACATAGGGCCACAGAATTGTTACTACACAGGGACACAGAAATTGTTACTGAGGGCCACAGAACCGTTACTTAGGGCCACAGAATTGTTACTCAGGGACACAGAATTGTTACTTAGGGCATTAGAATTGTTACCACAGAAACGTTAGTTAGGGCCACAAGAATTGTTACTCAGGGACAGACACAGAATTGTTACTGAGGGCCACAGAACTGTTACTTAGGGCCACAGAAACGTTAGTTAGGGCCACAGAATTGTTACTCAGGGACAGACAGAATTGTTACTGAGGGCCACAGAATTGTTACTTAGGGCCACACAGAAACGTTAGTTAGGGCCACAGAATTGTTACTCAGGACAGACACAGAATTGTTACTGAGGGCCACAGAACTGTTACTTAGGGCCACAGAAACGTTAGTTAGGGCCACAGAATTGTTACTCAGGGACAGACACAGAAATTGTTACTGAGGGCCACAGAATTGTTACTTAGGGCCACAGAAACGTTACTCAGGGACACAGAATTGTTACTGAGGGCCACAGAACTGTTATTTAGGGCCACAGAAACGTTAGTTAGGGCCACAGAATTGTTACTCGGACAAACACAGAATTGTTACTCATGAGGGCCACAGAATTGTTACTGAGGGCCACAGAACCGTTACTTAGGGCCACAGAATTGTTACTCAGGGACACAGAATTGTTACTGAGGGCCACAGAATTGTTACTTAGGGCCACATAATTGTTACTCAGGGACAGACACAGAATTGTTACTCAGGGACACAGAATTGTTACTGAGGGCCACAGAACCGTTACTTAGGGCCACAGAATTGTTACTCAGGGACACAGAAATTGTTACTGAGGGCCACAGAACCGTTTACTTAGGGCCACAGAATTGTTACTCAGGGACACAGAATTGTTACTTAGGGCCACAGAAACGTTAGTTAGGGCCACAGAATTGTTACTCAGGGACAGACACAGAATTGTTACTGAGGGCCACAGAATTGTTACTTAGGGCCACAGAATTGTTACTCAGGGACACAGAATTGTTACTGAGGGCCACAGAACTGTTACTTAGGGCCACAGAAACGTTACTTAGGGCCACAGAATTGTTTACTCAGGACAGACACAGAATTGTTACTGAGGGCCACAGAATTGTTACTTGAGGGCCACAGAATTGTTACTTAGGGCCACAGAATTGTTACTCAGGGACACAGAATTGTTACTGAGGGCCACAGAACCGTTACTTAGGGCCGCAGAATTGTTACTCAGGGCCACAGAAATGTTACTGAGGGCCACAGAATTGTTACTAGGGCCACAGGGTTTACTCAGACACAGAATTGTTACTCAGGACAGACACAGAATTGTTACTTAGGGTCACAGAATTGTTACTGAGGGCCACAGAATTGTTACTTAGGGCCACAGAAACGTTACTCAGGGCCACAGAATTGTTACTCAGGGGACAGACACAGAATTGTTACTCAGGGACAGACACAGAAATTGTTACTGAGGGACACAGAATTGTTACTGAGGGCCACAGAACCGTTACTTAGGGCCACAGAAAAAACGTTACTCAGGGACAGGACACAGAATTGTTACTCAGGGACAGACACAGAATTGTTACTGAGGGACACAGAATTGTTACTTGAGGGCCACAGAAACGTTACTCAGGGACAGAATTGTTACTCAGGGCCACAGAATTGTTTATGGGACAGACACAGAATTGTTACTCAGGGCCACAGAATTTACGGAGGGACACAGAATTGTTACTGAGGGCCACAGAACCGTTACTTAGGGCCACAGAAACGTTACTCAGGGACAGACACAGAATTGTTACTCAGGGACAGACACAGAATTGTTACTGAGGGACACAGAATTGTTACTGAGGGCACAGAACCGTTACTTAGGGCCACAGAAACGTTACTCAGGGACAGACACAGAATTGTTACTCAGGGACACAGAACCTTTACTTAGGGCCACAGAAACGTTACTCAGGGGACACAGAATTGTTACTCAGGGACAGACACAGAATTGTTACTCAGGGACACAGAATTGTTACTGAGGGACACAGAATTGTTACTGAGGGCCACAGAATTGTTACTCAGGGACACAGAATTGTTACTGAGGGACACAGAATTGTTACTCAGGGACACAGAAATTGTTACATAGGGACACAGAATTGTTACTGAGGGACACAGAATTGTTACTCAGGGACAGACACAGAATTGTTACTGAGGGCCACAGAACTGTTACTTAGGGCCACAGAAACTGTTACTTTAGGGGCCACAGAAACGTTACTCAGGGACACAGAATTGTTACTCAGGGACACAGAATCGTTTGCTGAGTATGTCAGACACATGCAGAGGAGGGGCAGAGGAGGCAATGTTTTAGGAGGCGAGCAGACGTGGCAGCAGAGGAAGGGGTCGAGGCAGCACTATTCGCAGCCAGAGGCTAGTGCTCCCGGTGTCATCCAGTACAGTGAGGAAGAGCTAACAGAGGGCGGTCAGGAACGGGGGGAGACATCCGCCTCTTCAGCAGCCAGGCGAAGAAGTAGTGGCGAGGAGAGTGGCTCGGTAGCCGGTGTAGAGACAGGTCTGTCTCCTGACACCCACACGGCCGAGGGGGCTAGTAGTGAGGCGGAGACCCTAATTGATGATGATGAGGCTGATCGCACTTGGCAGCCTCGTCGTCATCAGGCTATTGCTTCCGCATCATCAGGAGAAGATGGGTGGCAGCTTGGCAGCGAGCAAAAAACAGTTGGGTTGTCTCCATCGCCACACTCTGCCATGTGCCACTTTCAGGTCTCCTCACACACTGCTGGTGTGTTGAATTTTTTGACATAGGGTGCTGGCAGATTACGGGCCTCCCATAGCTGCTGCCAGGCCCCTAATCTGCCATAGGCCCCTATATACCGCCTCCTCATGCTGCTGCCAAGTCCAGAGTCTGTCATGGGTCCCTGTACGGCCTCCCATTGCTGCTGTCTCCATCGCCACACTCTGCCATGTGCCACTTTTCAGGTCTCCTCACACTGCTGGTGTGTTGAATTTTTTGACATAGGGTGCTGGCAGATTACGGGCCTCCCATAGCTGCTGCCAGGCCCCTAATCTGCCATAGGCCCCTATATACCGTCTCCTCATGCTGCTGTCAAGTCCAGAGTCTGTCATGGGTCCCTGTACGGCCTCCCATTGCTGCTGTCTCCATCGCCACACTCTGCCATGTGCCACTTTCAGGTCTCCTCACACTGCTGGTGTGTTGAATTTTTTGACATAGGGTGCTGGCAGATTACGGGCCTCCTATAGCTGCTGCCAGGCCCCTAATCTGCCATAGGCCCTTATATACCGCCTCCTCATGCTGCTGCCAAGTCCAGAGTCTGTCATGGGTCCCTGTACGGCCTCCCATTGCTGCTGTCTCCATCGCCACACTTTGCCATGTGCCACTTTCAGGTCTCCTCACACACTGCTGGTGTGTTGAATTTTTTGACATAGGGTGCTGGCAGATTACGGGCCTCCTATAGCTGCTGCCAGGCCCCTAATCTGCCATAGGCCCCTATATACCGCCTCCTCATGCTGCTGCCAGGCTGCCCCAGTGTCTCTCATGGGTCCCTGTACGGCCTCCCATTGCTGCTGTCTCCATCGCCACACTCTGCCATGTGCCACTTTCAGGTCTCCTCACACTGCTGGTGGGTTCCATTTTTTGTCATAGGGTGCTGGCAGATTACGGGCCTCCCATAGCTGCTGCCAGGCCCCTAATCTGCCATGGGCCCCTATACTGACTCCTCATGCTTTGACGTTGCAACAAGGTGGAATTCAACCCTACATATGTTAGACCGCCTTTACGAACAGCAAAAGGCCATCACAGATTTCCTGATGTTAAAAGCGGATAAAGGTACTCCCTGTGTAACTTAGATGTCAGCCATTGGCAGCTCATGCGTGACACCTGCGCTTGCTCAGGCCCTTTGAGGAGGCCACGCTATTCGTGAGTTGGCAGGACTATGGGATGAACGACGTCATTCCTCTGTTGCACGTCCTGGAACAAATGCTGTTAACAATGGCTGGTCAGGGTGCGGTAGACGTGGCGCACAGATCTCAACGCCACATGACCCCGGGGGGGGCAGGACAGGAAGAAGAGGAGGAGGTAGAGGAGGACATTGGTGCTCAGGAATTATTGAGTGAAATGGGTGGTTTTTCCACTCAGCGGACAGGAGTGGAGGAGCAGGAGCATCTGGTAGAGGAGGAGGAAGAGGAGACAGAGAACCCAGACGCACCGTGGCAGTATGCTGTGGAGATGGAGGCAGGGAGTCCCTCGCATTCCTTGGCACAAATGGCCCATAGCATGCTCGCTTGCTTGCGTAGCGACAGCCGAATAATAAGCATCAGACAGAGGGATGACTTTTGGCTGTCCACCTTGTTGGACCCTCGCTACCGTTCAAAAATGGTGGCCTTTTTCACACCTGCTGAGAGGGAGGCCAAAATAACGTACTATAAAAACCACCTATGTAGTCAGCTGGTCTCTGCCTGTCTGCGCCAACGTCCATCCTCAGACACTGTGGGCCCTGTGCGCTCGCGTTCCGCTGCCATGGCAGCAGGGGAGGGGTGGGGTGGGGTAGGAGCAGTGGCAGCTCCACCAGCAGCGGCTGCCTCAGTCTGCAGTCGATGATGAGTAGCTTTCTTCACCAGCGCAGTGAGGAAACTGCTAACCAGCCGCAGCAGCAGCAGCAGCAGCAGCAGCAGCAGCAGCATCAGGTGGACCTGGAGCAGGACCTCAAACAACAGGCTTAGGCCTACTTGGACAGCACCCTGCCAACCGAGGTAGACAATCCCCTTTACTACTGGGCAACGAAACTTGACCTTTGGCCCCAACTAGCTGAATTTGCCCTTGAAAGGCTGTCATGCCCGGCCAGTAGCGTGGCATCGGAGCGCGTGTTTAGTGCGGCAGGAGGTATTGCAACTCCGCGGAGGACACGACTGTCCACCCAATGTGTGGAGAGACTGACGTTTGTGAAAATGAATCAGGCGTGGATTAGTCTGGATTTCAAACCACCAGTTCCTGACACAACTGACTAAATCCGCCATGAATCATGCCCCAAACATGTGCCACTTTCAGGTCTCCTCACACTGCTGGTGTGTTCCATTTTTTGTCATAGGGTGCTGGCAGATTACGGGCCTCCCATAGCTGCTGCCAGGCCCCTAATCTGCCATGGGCCCCTATACCGCCTCCTCATGCTGCTGCCAAGTCCAGAGTCTCTCATGGGTCCCTGTACGGCCTCCCATTGCTGCTGTCTCTATCGCCACACTCTGCCATGTGCCACTTTCAGGTCTCCTCACACTGCTGGTGTGTTCCATTTTTTGTCATAGGGTGCTGGCAGATTACGGGCCTCCCATAGCTGCTGCCAGGCCCCTAATCTGCCATGGGCCCCTATACCGCCTCCTCATGCTGCTGCCAGGTCCAGAGTCACTCATGGGTCCCTGTACGGCCTCCCATTGATGCTGTCTCCATCGCCACACTCTGCCATGTGCCACTTTCAGGTCTCCTCACACTGCTGGTGGGTTCCATTTTTTGTCATAGGGTGCTGGCAGATTACGGGCCTCCCATAGCTGCTGCCAGGCCCCTAATCTGCCATGGGCCCCCGTACCGACTCCTCATGCTGCTGCCAGGCCCGTAATCTGTCATGGGCCCCTGTTGTCGCTTGTTGGCATATTCCGCTCGTTCAGATGCTCCTTCTCCTGCTACTCCTCTTCACGGATTCCGTCAGCAGTCTTTCTTGGAATCCGTTTCCAAGAGACAACAGTTTGCGAGCACGCACCCGACGGTGCAGAAGCTGAACGTCCTCCTGTCCAAGTTGCTGCTGCCAGGCTCGTAATCTGTCATGCGCCCCTGTACCGCCTCCTCATGCTGCTGTCAGGTCCAGAGTGTGTCATGGGCCCCCGTACCGACTCCTCATGCTGCTGCCAGGCCCGTAATCTGTCATGGGCCCCTGTACCGCCTCCCCATGCTGCTGCCAGGTCCAGAGTGTGTCATGGGTCCCTGTACGGCCTCCCATTGCTGCTGCCAGGCCCGTAATCTGCCATGGGCCCCCGTACCGACTCCTCATGCTGCTGCCAGGCTCGTAATCTGTCATGGGCCCCTGTACCGCCTCCTCATGCTGCTGCCAGGTCCAGAGTGTGTCATGGGTCCCTGTACGGCCTCCCATTGCTGCTGTCTCTATCGCCACACTCTGCCATGTGCCACTTTCAGGTCTCCTCACACTGCTGGTGGTTTCCATTTTTGTCATAGGGTGCTGTATGGCCTCCCATTGCTGCTGCCTCCACCGCCACACTGTGGCTCCACACTCTGGTTTTGGCCCCGTGACTGCCCAAATGAGTGAAGTGTGCGGTGATTCTAAGATCGACGGCACTCATCTGCATGTCATACTGACTGACAGTATTATTTCTCTTCCCCAGCAGACTCCAAGGGCATTTAAATTAAAGGTACAGTGTTCTGCACTAATATTAAGTCTCTCTGAAGCCTAGAAACACCCTTTTTTAAGTTAAATTCACAGCGAATATATTCGACTCGAATCGAAATTTTTCCACGAATTCGCCGAATCAGTCGAATCGAATTTTTGAATACTTCGCTCATCTCTAATAGTAGCATGCTTGTATAAAAATTGTTTATGTATAAGTGGTACCCCATATGGAAAAAGGGTAACAACAAATTGCCAACTAACTTGCCATTGCGTCCCATGTAGTCTGAGCATCTGGGGGGCTCCATGTGACTATCTTCCCCCCCATAAATCCAAAAATTACATGTATAGCCGGTTTCCCTTTCACAGGTCTTATACATTTTGACCCCATATCTGGCATGCTTGCTGGAGAGAAATTGTTTGAATGCAAGGTGGCCAGAAAAATTAATGAGGAACTCATTAACGCAAAAGGTTTGCTGGGGAGTATACACATCTGCAAATTTCTGTTTAAGGTGATTTTGAGGGGCTGAATTTTGTGGAGCCGGTCATATTCAGGGTCATCCTGAGGATGACAGAATGTGTTATCACTGAAATGCATACATCGCATTATATTCTATGGCCATGGCAGCAGAGAACATGGGCATATGATGAATCAGGTCTGTGGACCAATACAACCGCAATTCATTTTTTTAGTAATGCCCATGTTGAGGGTTAGGCCCAAAAAAACTTTAAATTTGGAAACCGTAATAGGTTTCAATGCAAATGGTCTGGCAAGGTTTGAATTTGGGTTGGTGGTGATAAATTGTTGTGAGTATAAATTGCTTTGATCCACAATTAATCCAAACAGCTCCAAAAAATCAAGGGGAGCAGTTACATTTTCTAAAGTTAATTTAAAGTTTCCACCTGAATTCGGAGTTGGGCAGTGAATGGAGGAAATACGGGTGCTGCAGAATATGTGGACTGCCAATCAAGATTTGCAAGCACATCCGGA